CCTCTCTCACAGATGCCATTGCACTTGTTTTGTTTTTTTTCACTCTCAAACGTGCTGGTTTTTGCCACAAGGCTGGAAGTTCATTCCACACCCTTACATGCATATGCCCTCGATACTCAGGCTTGGTTTACCCTTACCTCTCATCCATAATGTGATCTGTAAAGTCAGTCATCCTAGTTTTTAAACTGGGACCCATTGCTTAGCATGATTACTGAACTCTGCCTCTGTGGCTTGTTGGACAAGCCACAATCGGAACAGCATTTAGAGCAATGTGTAAATCCATCCATGCTGTCATTTCTCACATCGGTCTTTTCATCTGCTGCTTTATTCCGGACCATAGAAAAGCTTGCATTCCTTCTCTTGCTGTTAATTAGAGATAAATATGGTAGACAATTACTTCCATAGTATCTTTTCTGCCGTGAGATGATGAGACTCTCATCCTGACTGCAGAAAGATGGAATTTAGCCTACCATTCTTTTGTCTTTGATGTTCCTGACTACCTCCCTTGTGTGGCTGTATCTCCTCTTTTTCTCATCATCACTGAGAATGCACCCCTTTTCTCATAAATTAGACCTTTCATACATTTCTGCATAAATTCATTCATTCTCCACCTTCTACTTTTGGCATATCCTCCCTCCCCCTCTTCTCTGCATGCACATATCTGCACTGGGCACAAAGTCTTAAGCCTTGCACTAAGCATACTTGGGCCGTTTCCTCACTAGTAATTCCTGACATCTTCTGAATGAACAGTGCTGATACAAGCAGGCATTATATCACTCCAGTGATGACCAACTGCTGCCCTTAGACCAATAATCAAGACAGAGGAAACTGCCTTGGAATCTGAACTTCAGTAGTGGGAGGAAAGAATGAATAAAATCAATCCATCTGCCTGGGAATGAGAGAAGGTGGGCAATAGAAGTGCAATAGATCTGAACTTTAGCTGAGGAGGAAGAAGAAAGGAAAGAGAAATGGTCCTTTCCAAGGTTAAGGTTAAAAGGCCCTCATGAGCAAGAAAGGAAAAGTGAGAGGGAAAAAAATCCTCTCCTTTCTTAAGGCCAAACTTCCAAAATCACTTTTTAGGGGCAATTTTGGGAGTTTCAGGAGACCAAATCTGATCTCCCCAAACTAGTTAAACCAAGGTGTTTTGTATTCCTTCTTTCCCAAACAAACACAGCACCATCTGCTTAAAGGCAGCATTCAATTTCTGCCTCCTCCAAAGCCATCCTATACAGGTGATTGGCGTATGGGTCTGCGTCCCACTTGATTGTACAACTCAGAATCCCTCACTTTGTTTGACTTTGGGAAGCATAACCCAATGAAACCTGCAGGTCAAGTCCCCCATCCAAGTCCATTCTTTCTGTAAGCGGATTTCCCCGCTGGAGTGCCCTGGTTAAGGCAGCTTTGCTGGAAGTGTCATCCCCTTGAATTGCTTTTCAACTCCAGGCCTCAAGGGAGCCAGGCAGGAGTCACTTACTCAGAGCCGGGATGCTTAATACAAAGTCATCAAAGTGCTCTTCTGCTTCTTGTCTTAAAGTGACAGGCCTTCTTTATTGGCCTGTTTGAACTACGCCTCCTGCCTTTCAGGGTCCTTCTATCTATCTTTGTCTGTTAGTTAGGGAGAAAGCAGACATTAAAAAGCAAAGCCTCGGGCAGTGCCAACTTTGGCTCCCCAGCAGGTTGAATTTGTTGCTCCTTCATTAATCTGGAGTGACTTCTTTTCCGTAAGGTGAAAATGCATGTCCTGGGTAAGAGTTTCTCCCTGAATAGGTAGATTTTGCAACACCAATGAAAGATTTTGTATGGACTCGGCTAATATGGGAGATCACAACTGAGTGCCCTTGGAAGCTAAGCAGGATCAACTCTAGTTAGAGCTTGGATGGAAGATGGCCTAGGCATTTCAATCTCCAACCTACACTGGATGTCAGAGGTGTGTGCATGTATCCCAGAAAAAAGCAAGGGTAAAGCACTTTCATATTGACACCAACAATGCTACGTTACATCACCAGATGAATCTCCTTGGAAGATGCCTGATTTTAAAGATGAGATCATTTTCAACTTGGCTCTGTAGAAACTAGAATGATTTATTTTCATACTGTAATTCCCTCACTCATCAACAAGTGGTTCTCAGTCTGACAAAGCTCATGAAAATCCAAATTTCAATTATGGCTTAGATGGTTGCATTCTTAAACTCACTGATTATGGAGATCCTATTTACAAATGGAGTGGCTGGATGAAGTCACTGAAGCAGTCGGTGTGAGCATAAGTGGACTCCAGATGGTAGAGGACAGGAAGGCCTAGGGAAACATTGTCCATGGGGTCGCGATGGGTTGACAAGGTGGGACAAACAACGACAACAACATACTGTAAAGATACTTGGGAGCCATCTAGATTTCCACTGGTTCATTTGGATTACTAGTAGGGATCTATAGATTAGTATCAGAACATCTCTTTTCAAACTGTTTCAAAACCAGCACATTTGGTGGAAGCTTGTTTCTTCTGTGGAGTGAAAACATAAAATCTGCCCAGTTAAGACTCTACATGGTTAATGAGGTTGAACTTTTAGCACAGTTGCACTACCAGTACAGTTGAAATCTGCTTTCTCAGGGAGATCTTCCTTTTAAGCAAGTTTAGGAATGCTTGCAGCATCTGACTAACTAGTTACATGCAAATCTTGATTCCTATTTTTGACCAAGCAGCCTGCAATTATAGTAATTAAATCCAGTGTTCAGTTTCATAACTCTATTCTATCTCAAAGTTTCTTTATATGCAGTGAGGAATATAAATGGACAACTCTTTCAATAGCTCATTCAAGCTACACTCCCTGTAACTCAAAAAAACAGTAAATTGCTATCAAAAAAAAAAGAGTAAATCTTTTGAACAATCTCCAGTTGAAGCAAAAGGCACTGAAAGTGTTTGATTATGACTAATTGGTGTCAATTATAATCTGAATAGTTTTATTATGGTTCAGTAAACCATAGATTAAAAAGTAGATACTTAACAATTGAAACTTATTTGCAACTTAACCCCATTGCCTTTGTTACACTTTGTAAATAATAATATTACAAATTATTAGAGAAAAGTAATTCAAATCATGGAGAAAAGGTTCTTTGAAGAGAAATGCCTGTAGAAGGAATAGCCTCGAGTTATGGACTGAATTCAATTTGTGTAAGCTTTTTCTTATATAGGAAGCATGGCTCAGCTTAGTGTAATTAAGTTATAATAGGTAATTAGTTGTCTGCTGACAACCTCTTGCCAGAGTGGGAACATGATTATTATTTAGAAAAGAGTTTTGGCAGCCAGAAAAGAAGTTCCCAATTTGTGGACCATGAGACAAAAACAACTTTTGGATGTGTGCCCGGGGCATCTAAATGGGCTTTCTACTGGAGAGAGACAGAGAGCACAGCTGTCTCCTCATAACTTGCTGGTAACCCTACTTGAAGCTGTAAGTCTGACCACTACCCTTTCTCACACTGGTCCTATGGGAGTTGGATATGGTGCTTAACCACAGTCCAGAAAGGGGCCTTGATGCTGAACCCAATTATCACCTCTGTTCACCATGTTAGTTGGATGTATGGAGGGCTCAAGTCCAACAAGATCTGCAATGTTGCAACCTGAATTAAGGTTTTAAAGAAAAGATCTGTTGCTCTTCTCAGTGACTCTAGAGAGTCAATTCTGCCCTGTCTGGTTTTATAGAAACGAGGGCAAAGAAAAGCATAGGAAGATTCAAGACCAGGAAGTTACCAGCAATGGATTAGATCAGTGTTTCCTGCCCTCCAGATTTAGGAAGAAGTAATCTATAATCTGGATTATAGATACAATTAACATTTTCATGAATGTAGCAATTTCTGCTACCTATTATATTAGATATTCCAAGCTGGGAGTAGCTTTGTAGGGGGAGAGGTTTGAAAGGGGGGGGGAGACCCCACACGGCCTGGGAAATGGGGACAATGCAGCAACTTCACTTGTACTTTGAATCAAAAATGGGGAAGGGAGACATAAGATAGCTTCCAAAAACTCCTGCAAGTGACCTGATTTATCAGATTTTACATGCTTTTTTTTAAAAAAATGAAGTTTGGATCAGATCAGGATACCTACCATTTTGATTTTTTTTTTTTAAATTTGATCAGTGCCTACCATCTCCTTCAGACACCACTAAATCAAGCAGTTTTGCATTTTAAGTAGCGTCCCGTCTGTTTTTAAGCAGTTTCAGAAAAGGCTGACTATAAGACCCTTTGAGCATAATTTACCTGAACAAACGAAAATAACGGCCTTTGTAGAAAGCCAGCCCTTGATGGAAGCGGGTGCACTTCATAAATCTGGCTAACACAGGGGAGAGAAAAAACAACAACCACCTCCTGGGATAACCAAAAAGCGAGAAATCTGCAAAGTTTTTTTTTTTACAGAGTTCTCTCCAAAGGCCAGTATTTCGCGCCTTTTATTTTACAAAGTTGCTGACTTTTAGGGTACTTTCGTTGCCCTTTCTTTTCTTTTTCTTTTAAAAAAAAGTTCCACCCCCACTTCTGCTCCGACCTCCTTTATTTAAATAAATATAAATATACATTTGATATAAAACTATTTCCCTACAAACCAGACCATTTCAAGCAACTCTCTCTCGAAGAATCTCTCCCGCTCCCTTCCTATTTCAGATCAAGATCGGTACAAAACAGGTTTAATCGAGCTTTTCCCCCCCCCCCCCCCCTTCTCTTTGATTCCCCTAAATCTTCCCCCCTAATTTTTTTTTGGGGGGGGGGTGGTGAATGAGGCTGCGAGCGCTTCCCTCCGCCGTTGATGGGGCAGGGCAGGGGGCTCGGGATCTGGGTCTCCCCAATTTGGGGGGGTAGGCAAACACCCTGAGCTCGGGACTCGGGGCCCGATCAAGGCACCCGAGGGCGGGGTGGGGGGGGGGAATGGTGTCGTTTTCGCCTTCTTCGAGTCCGGCAGAGTCCGGCTGCGGGCTCTGGCCACGGCAATTGTCAGTCTGGATCGGGGGAGCCCCCCCCTCACAACGGGGAGACCTCCTTGTCTTCGTTGGCCGAGGCCGGGGAAAGCGACTCTTCGTCCTCGGATCTGGGGAAGCGACCCGGGTTGCCGCCGGCGCAACTGCAGCCGCCGCCGTGCGTGTTCCTCTGGGCTCCCTTGCCTTCCTTCTTGTGCTTCACCCGCCGGTTCTGGAACCAGATCTTCACCTGTTTCTCCGACAGGTTGAGGTACGTGGCGATCTCGATCCGCCGCAACCGGGACAGGTACATGTTGGCCGAAAACTCCCGTTCCAGCTCCAGCAGCTGCGTGCTGGTGAAAGCCGTGCGCATCCGCTTGCCGTTCTGCAGCGGGCCGGCGCCGTCCGAACCTCCTGGGGATGCGGGAGGAGGAGGAGGAGGAGGAGGAGGGGGAACCCAGGAAAAGAAAAAAGAAAAAAAAAAGAAAACCCGGTTAAAAAGCCCAAGCGAGACTTCACGCCAGCCTTCTTCTCCTCCACCTGTCCTTCCTTGGCATCCTGGACCACAACCCCCCCTTGACGTTTCCCCTTCAACCTCCACCCCCACCGGGAGAGCAACCGGACCCGAAGCCCGGCAGAGGGACGGGGAGGTTCCCCTCCCACCAATCTCCCCCC